TGCAAATGAATATCACGAAAATGTAATAAGTTAAATTAAGAATGATTTTTAAAAACTCAATTGAATTTACTTATTATACAATTAATGTGCAAAATATTTGTCGAATGAAGAAAAAAAGTAAGAACTGATATACAAGTGCAGATCTTTCTTCGTGTAACTAATAGTGCGTGTGAATTTAAAAAATTTATTAGCTCATTTTCATGATAAAATTATTGGCATTTCAATGAGCTAAAAAGTTTATGATGCCAAAACATATATAACAGAAATTATTTCACTAGAAAGGAAACAAATGTATTATAATGAAATTTGTAATATTTTCTTTTAACTTTGTTAATATTTTATTTCTATGAATACAAATTTAATTATAATTGATAATATAAACATATCCGAATGAGATTGATATTAACGTACTAAATAATTAATGGTATTATTAATCCAATATATACTTTTTAAATTTTTAATGTATTTTTATATATTTTTTGTGTATACTTTCTTTAATGAAATACATAATATTATTTATAACCCGTAACACAGAAGTTTTATTTTCAACATTGAAATGTGGAAAAATAAAGTCTTTAAAAATAAACTGGCGAAAAGGATATATTTGTAAAAACATCAAAATACATTAAAAAGAAAGTATTTAAATTTTTTTCTCTCTCTATATTTATAATGCTTTCATTTAGAAAATTTTACGAGGATCGTAAATATTCTTCTTTATAAATAACGATAAATTAGAACGTTTGATTGCCATGCGCAAGCAGTTTATTTTGGGTCGGGGGGGGGGGGAAACAAAAAACAAAAGAAAGAAAAGGAAAAAAAAACCATTTAAATGTATCGACAATGCCACATAAAAAGTAGTAATCAAAGTCATTCTTAGAGATTTATGTATATAATGTTAATTATTTTCATGATATTTTAATAGTTTTAGTTTTTATTTAACGGTTTAGTGTAATAATAATAAAAATTCAAAATATCGATCCTTTTTTTCGTAAATTTTTCTCTACCCGAGCGTCAGAAGCGTAATTGCCGCCGAGTCCGTGAAATTTTAATATAAAAAACATATTCTTAAAAGTGGATTTGTGCAACATTGTGCAATATTATTATTATATTATATTATATAGTCAATAATTACGAAGGGAAAATTATTTAAAGAAGATTGTTAATTTTTTACAGTTTAAGCGAAAGTAATATTTATGCAAAGCAAATACTATAATTCTTAGCTATAATGATATAATATAAGGCTAGCATAGCCAAAGGCCAATTTGGCTTTTAGATAACAACCTTACGTCACAATATGCTCTTATACGTATAAATACATTCATGATCGGTTAAATAATTGCGCTTGAAGCATCAGTTTTGTTTTAAAGGTTAAATGCGTCTAAGCGTTACACAAGGCCAGATATAAAATTTCTAATAAAATCCTATAATAATTATATTTGAATATTTTATGTTATTAAGGATTTTATCATTGGAATAGGATAAACGAATGCGACCGAAATTGAAATTCGGGTTTAACGTTATCAAGGAAATAGGCGATGATTATCAGTTCATTAGTTCATTATAAATCCCATTAATTTATGCACTAAACGTATCGTTGAATAATAAACGCTTTATAGTATAATAATATGGAGTGTGGTAGTATGCAATATAAATGTAAAGAGGCAATGGGAAAGGCTAAAATTCCGAAAGTCCCGCGAGCGTTTGGGCTGTCGGCGAGCAAAGAAATCAAATGCTCTGGATGTTCTGGAACTCGGGCCGTGAGAATTCATGAGTAGTACGTCGGTTGACGGGTTGGTTGGTTGGTTGGTTGGTTGGTTGGTTGGTTGGTTGGTTGGTTCGGTTTGTTTGTTGGTGATGGTGGTGATGGTGGTCGTGGTGATGGTTGGTTGATGGGGCAGGGGCAGGGGAGGGGGAGGGTGCAGGCATTGTCGCGGCGGCGTCGTGTCAAAGCGTCAGAGATGAGAGGTTAGAGGTTAGAGGCCCGAAGTACTCTCGCTATTGGAATAAGTCGGAGGTAACGACGCTTTCACTCTCGCTCGTAGCCGCATTCGAAAATCCGGCGCGATGACACGAGGCTCCGTCGTGTCAATTAGCCGGAGGGGAATTTTCAAATAAACAAGGGGATTTAACAATTTCCAGGGGATTACATTCGGACTTGCCGTATTTTCGGCGAGAGTTGCATATTGAATACGAGATGGGAAGTAACATCGAGGCTCCGACGAATTAATGCCTCGAGGTAAGATATTCCCGTGGAGTCGCCATTTATCAAGAGTGTCGTCCTTTCAATTGGACGTAATTTCATAAAGCATTATAAGGTACCTACCTCTCTATCCCGATACAATAGATAATAGATAAAACAATGATATAAGATAGGAGAGAGGTGACATTTACATTTTCGAATTTTTAAGAATAGAAATAAAAACAGCCCTGCAATCTAACCTAATTGCCATTTTGACATCGCGAATCTTATACATCTCTAATTCAATCAAGTCGGTTAATAATAGCTTAAAGGCATATTAATTGAAATATAAAGTACGTAATACTTGGCGATCTATAGGCATGAGCACTGAATAATCACTGGGCTCGTATCTAATAATAGTTCATTCGGATGTAAAATTCGTACATTTTTAGACGAGCTTAAACTGGCTTCGGTAACTCGCTCTTGTATTTTTTTTTTTTTTTTTATTCGATTTATTATCTTTATTTATCTATTATGTTTTACATCAATCATATCGCCATAAATAAATGATAATATTAAAAACGTATTTAACACAATTGTAAATAATTAAGTATTCTTAAATTTTTTTATTGATATGATACAACATGAACGTGAAAATCATTAAAAAGCTTGAATAACAAAACGTACTTGGAAGGTATTATTTTAATAATTTTTATTTTAATATAATAAATACTGAATAGATCGGTAGATGATTTACTGTTATTAAAGTAAATCTGCCCGATTGAAAATATAAAAATGGAAACGATTTTGTAATAAATGATCTGAGTTCAAGTACTAGTCAGACCTATTGAATACATAATTCTATCTATCAAACAACAAGTTCTATTAATATAAATTTTTTATACAAATCCATGATTAATACAATAATATGTAGTATCTAATAATTGTAAAGATTGTAATGAGAAATAATTTTATCGAACTATCTGAAATTATAATTACTTTCGTAATAAATTTTAAATAGAATATTGACGGTTTTTTTTTTTTTTTTTTTTTTTTTTTTTTTTTTTTTAAATTCTAGTATAATATTTAATGAAATTATCAAAATTTTCGATAAATATATATGTTTTTTTGGTAAGATTCCTGCTTCTGCATCTAAAATATATACCTGTATAATAGGATAAATTCTTTGAATAAAATTAATAAATGTAAAATAAAAAATATATATACGACCGCATTATCAACTTAGACATTTATTTTCATAAAAAATCTTCGCTTCATAAAAATTAAAAATATAAAGACGTTATTTAGAATTCGGATGTCTACTGAAAATTAAACGATACTAATGTTCATGCTCACTACGTCTTATTCTGAAAATTGTCAAGGTTTCGTAAACGTGATTGGAAGTTGTGAATCGACTTCCAAAATCACGCGAATGAAAACGATCTTTATCGACGATCTCAAAAGTCGTTTTATTCTTTTAATTAAAAATTTACCGTCCATTTAAATGATAAATATATAACACCATCGTATATTTACATCGTGTATGTATGTATATATATATATATATATATATATATATATATATATATAGCAAGTTTTTACTACAAAGTTTACCAATTCATTGTTACATTTTTGTTTATTCAACCATACAGCTTCTTGAAATATTTCAATTAAATATTACAAATTATATTCAATTTGCAATTGTTACAATTCATATTACTTACTGGGACTAATCTTATATCGCATTTAAAATGAGACCGATTATAGGCCAAATTGTACACTTGTACCAAGTTGTATTAAAACTTATATTACGATAAGTGTGATAAGAGGTGATTATGTTAGAAATTATGCAACACTATCATTTGATTTGCCTTTACATAATCTATATTGATTATGAATTAATCTTATCTTTGCATTATATAGTATAATATTAAATTTGAGATTACCTCTTTATTATATGCATTTCACTTTTAGCTATCCAAAATTACTCAAAAGAAATTATTTTTACAAGATCATTAGATCAAATGAAAGGATTTTAATTTAAGATAATGTATAGAATATAATAGGATTATCATGGCATAAACATCATATTATAAACAATTTGTTCTTTCTAACTCAAAGATTACTATTTATCCAATACAGTATATTATTTTCTAAGTAAGAAAATTTTGTAATATATAATTTTCTAAATGATTACTATATAATAAGGATGGAAGCCAATTCATACATATTATGTAGAATATTTTAAATTTCGTTAAGATACTTAAAGAGATTAGTCAAACTTGTCTATATAGATGACAATTGAAACGGATTGGACAACCGATTATTTGAGTATAATATTAATAAAAGAAATGAAAAATAGAACAAGAATAATGATTTGTTAAGGTTATGTATATTATGGTTCGAATTTCTGGTTCTCATCCTAAAATGACGACGAACCGAGAAAGTTTATTTTATGTCACTTTGTCTGCGTTTACGAGCATAATTCGATGTCATTGTGCATTATTATTCCCTTCACCACGAGCGAATCTATTCCAACACTAATCCGTGTGTGTGAGTGTATGGCTATTAATTATATATAAGAAAAAAGTTTTTTTATAGCTATTTTTCTTTCTATTTTTTTTTTTATTTTTTTATTTTTTTTGTATTCGTCGAAGAGCGGCTACGAATTTACGGGAAAAAACAAAACGAAAAAGTGGGTGGGGAATCCGTATAAAAACTCCACCATTCCACGTGGCAAACCAGTCACCAGTATACCTCGATCAATCGATTGTCCTTTTTTCCGTCGTAGCAATCGCGAAAGATAAACGTTCTTTTCAAGATGAAGACGGTACGTGTACAGTTTAAGAGATAAAGAAAATTTAAAGACATTTTTCTTCGCCTTTTAATAATCAATTCATGCAATTCAATAATGGCATTCGCTATCACGGCAATTATCATCGAAAATTTGCAGCTTAAAGAGCAACATTAATAAATTTCTTATTATTAACAAATAGCAATTGCCATCGTTATTGTTTAAAATTACTTAATCCAATTGAAATAAGAATAAACTTTCAAACACGTAGAAAAAGTAAAAAAAAAACTGCCGCGAATAAGAATAGCCAGTGATTTTTATACAATTAAAGTACAAATGCTTAAAAATATAATTCTAAATTATTCATTGAATTTTATTTCTATAGACATTCACTCTAGTTATTATATACTATTATACTTTCGTTATCACAAATGGTCCAGAAGTTCGACAACTGGAAATTAAACGAACAGCCCAAGCAACAACAATGTTGCAAATCGAGTGATCAACCGTCAGTAGCTTCTCCTTAGAAATGTTGCGACATCCAACGTCATTCGATAATCCAGCGGCGCAGCGGTTCTACCTTTTTTAAAGAGTCCAACGAAAAATCGAAAGACAGATAAACAATGGCGGTATTTCTTAAGGGCTGTCAGTTATCCGCGACTAAACGACCCTCCGCTTAACTGACGGGTCCACGTGTCACTTGCTTCTCTTCATTTTATACGCTCGCGTGCTAAATCCTCTCCCCCCCCCCTCTCTCTCTCTCTCACAGTCTCTCTCTCTCTCTCTCTCTCTCTCTCTCAATCTCTCTCAATCTCAATCTAACTCTTTCACTCTCCTTCCATTGAAATTAAGTGTACGAGTGGGGTACGCTGAACAAAGGGTTCGATTAAAGAAACGCATCGATTTATTTACTTTGCGCAATTTTATTTAGCTAGGGAAGCGCCCTTACTCTTACTACGGTGCCATTTGCATCGACTATTATTCGCGCAAGACAATTGTTAAGCGTAGATCGTCCGTATCACTAAATGAGTGACATAATCCGTAAAATGTGCGTATAATTGCGAGGAGAGTGCAACTAAAAATATCATTCGTATATTTTGTACATTAACAGATTATGCAATTCACCGTTTTAATAAAATATCGCTGATTTATTTGTTGGCTTAAGCGTTATTTTATTCATGATCTTCAAGAGTTGTAAAATTAAAATAAATTACCAAGACGTTTCTTGTGTAATAAAACGCAATTAAATAATCGGAAATATCTTCTGTAAGCCTTCTTTTCTTCGTATCTTCGTAAGACCTTCAAATCGAGAACTTCATTGTAGCTGTAAATAACTGGAGTTTATCGTAATGTTAATTAGGACGAACATTAAATTACGCCTACAACTGCTGTTTAAATTCAGTTAATAAGATTGGTTAATTCAAACATGATAGATGGCGCTTTCGCTTATTTTTTATCGCGACGTAAACAATCACTTTGAATGATTATTTTTTGAGATGAACGTATATTCGCAACGAATGCTGCGAATTTTGCACTCTATTCTAACTCCCATAATATATTCCAAAGGACAAAAGAAAATTATAAACCAAGCAAAATCTCTAGAGAAACGAATACATTGCATGATACTCCAATGAATATATTCTTACACGCAACACTGTATTTAATGCTCACCATAAAAGATCGATTCCATATATCATCATCATCAACTTTCTCTCTCTCTCTCTCCCTCCCTCTCTCTCTCCCTCTCCCTCTCTCTCTCTCTCTCTCTCTCTCTCTCTCTCTCTCCCTCTCTCTCTCTCTCTCTCTCTCTCTCTCTCTCTCTCTATCTCTATCTATGTATCATATCTTTATCTATCTCTCTCTGCCGCCACACACGCACACACACACACACACACACACACCTCCTGCTCTTTCACTGTGACTTCGCAGTGCGATTTCGGCGTTATGTAATGTTGTCTGGGGGCACTTAACGGATCGCGTGGATGACGCGCTCGACTAGTATAAACGAAATGATCGTTAACTTGCGAGATCTTTATCGAAAACACGGTCGAAGGAAAGAGATCAGGAATTAAGTTGGCTTGCTCTTTGTGGCGTAAATTTACTCGATCAAATTAGATCTTGAATGAATTGAGTCGTTAAATCAATAGCATTCGACATATCATCGAGTGGTTAGCGATCAATGTTTATATCGCCAAGGGTCATGGGCCGGCGTCGTCGTTCTCTATTTTCTCTGTTACGATGCATCACCTGGTGCAGTTGCTACGTCAACAAGGGCGATTCCACCCCGGAGATATAGGCACCGAGTGAGAGGAGCGCGACACGATCGTAAAGTTAGCGAGTCGACGAATGCGAAGTTTTGGAAAGGAGCGTCTTCACCGCCTGGAGCGACAAAGGGGCGGGGGAAAGGAGCGTGACACGGACGGCGCGTTGTGAAATCACGGCAATGAATACCTACGACGAAAGAGTTTATCATCCGGCGAGATTTTATCAGGGATTCGGCGCTCCTCGTGAATCAAACGGCGGCCATATCCACGACTCCTCGCACGTCGACGTGTATTTCGTTGACGCGTCTATCGTCTCAGCCGCCGGCGACGTTCCACGCCCATATTTACTGCACAAGCTCCTAATGCCGTTACCTACCCAACGTCCTTGTTTAGGTATCTCGTAATGTTCATCTCAGAAGTTGGACGACCGACACGCGAATTGCTTTTGAAGATGTGAGGTTAAATGCTTGGTCGCCCGATGAGACGGCGACTTTAATGAAGCGAAGAGCACCGCGGCGATTGAACTTCATCGAGGGAAAGCAAGGCAATTTTACAAAATTATGAAAAATCCAATGCTACTTATACTTCCACAAATCTCTCAATTGGGAGCTTTATCTTACATCCTTTATATAATTAATAATCCATTAGCATTTATTTATTTTACTCAATATGACGATAAGCTTCGCTTTGAATAAGTAATTTGTAAGACTAAGCAATAGCAACAGGCCTACATTAATTATCATCGTCGTTTATAAATTTATCATATACATTTATTAGTTGAATGGCGAATAATACTCGCTCGAAGAAATGCGAAGAAATGCCGATAATCAAAGGAAAGCCCATAAGCTTACAATATGTAAACCTATTTTACGTGTTTACTTAAAACTTAACGAGAAGCGTGTATTTAGGATGATGTTTTTATCATTGATCTGAAATCGCTACATAAATCTTCATAACCGATAGGTTTACCTTCGTACGTTTAAAATGCTCATCTTTCTATAATCTTTAAAGCAAGGAACAACATTTTGTATTTCTAATCCGTTACTATGAAATCTATATATTACCACTATTTGAGAAAGCTATTACGTTTAATGAATGAAATTTCATATTTACGTTATGTATATATATATATATATATATATATATATATATATATATATATATATATTATATCATGTATTATATATGGTAAATCTTTCATAAACTTAAGCCTCGCAATGCACTTATTTACAAATACACACAGATTATCCGTCTTATATTTGCATTATCCATAATTTTACTATATTACTTTTATTTCTGTTTCAACAAAACTTATTCTAAAATCATATGACAAATATTATATAAATATTTTATTAAAAAATATAACAAACCCCCCACCCCCACCCCACCCCACCCCCGCCATCCCATCCCTACCCCCATACACACACACTCACACAAAAACATATTTATTTAAATAGTTATAAATTTCTTTTTAATGGATAAATATTTTTAAATACTTGAACAATCAAATATCCCGATCAAATAAAGAATTTCAGATTATAATTTTTGCTGTACTTTTGGTGGTTGCGATTAGTAGTCCTCTACCCCCTTCTCTCCAACCACATAAATTCTTCAATACCGGTCACTTCAATACAGTCACTTCTCCGGTTAGGACAGACGATTCTAGATAGGACGTTCCATCGGACAACATCGGCCTCGACGGCTACAAGTTCGCATACGAGCTGAGCGACGGCTCGACGCGAGAGGAGTCCGCCCAGGTCGAGACCCGAGGTGTCGAGGATGCCGTACTCCGGGTGCGAGGCTCCTACAGCTGGGTTAACCCCGAGGACGGACAGGTGTACACCGTCACTTACTCACCTCGCCGAGGAAAACGGATTCCAGCCCCAAGACGCCCACCTACCCCTACCTTGAATTCAAGATTTTTTCTTCCGATAGTGTTTAATTATTTGCAAAGTCGTAATTTGTTTTAATAATACCTATGAATACTCATTGAACTTGGATGTATTAGCTTAATGATTAAATATTTTATTTTTTTCAATTATCATATTTCTCCTGTAATACAAAACTATTATTAATTATTACTATAATCAATTTGTACAGTACATTATAATCATTTTAAAAAATTATATCAATTGATTAGCGTTCTTCTTATGAGTTTCTTCATAATTGAAGAAACTAAATTTAAAACAATAACAATTTTGCAGTTCAACGTATAATTGATACAATAGTTGATATAAATATTTGTCCATTAGGATATCCATGGAAAATAAGTAAATTTTTTGGGGTTGTTTAATTGACAGATTGACGCGCCCGTACAATAAAAATTTTCCATTTTTTACATAAATACATTTGCAATAATTTAATATATCGTTTTTTTTTTTTTTTTTTTTTTTTTTTTTTTTTTTTTTTTTTTAAATAATTGGGTGATATTTTTAACGTATGTAAAAAATCTCTGTTTCCAATTTGAATATTTAAAATAGTTTTTGAAGAATTATTTGGTATTTTTCAATACTAGTTTGTTCACACTATCAATGCACTATGTTATTGTTTATTTAACATTAAAATTGTATCAATAATTATTTATTATTAATTTAAAAAAAACTTAATGAATTGATATAAATGATATACAAAAATAATTTGAATTATTTTTTTTCTATTCTTAGCTTATGACTCTTTTATGTTTCATCCCAAGATTCTTTTACCTAAAGAATATTTTATTTGAGATAAAACCTTAATATATTTGTGCTATCTCAGTGACTTAGACTTGGGAATGTTAAAAATTATTATAATCTTGATTATCTCAATTTAAAAGATAAATTTATTATAATGGTTTAGCACTTAATGTATATTGAATGTATAAAAAAAACGGTAATTATAAACGAAATATAATTATAAACGATATTATACTTTAAAATCTTCGATTCAATCATCTATTAAATCATTAATTTTTTATTTTCTTTTCTAATTTTTTATTCCATATGTTATACATATTTTTCATTATTATTTTTATTTCATAAAAAAATCTATTCTTTATGATTATTTATTACTTTAAATAGTATATACAGTTTTTCTCATATAATTTTATGAATTTCATCTGTATAGGTATAAATAATTTTCAATTAATTTATTAATTCTACATTCTACAGATCGAATAATTTATTATTTTGTCGCAAATTAAATAAATAAATATAGTGTACGAACGTTCTTAGAAACAAAATTTACCTTTCTTATTATATTATGTTCTTCCGTATTATGCAAACTTTACTTTCTCATAATCAGTAGGAAAACTTTTCCCATTTCTCCATTAAAGTCGTATATAAATATTTAACATGTGGTCGATATTTGACTAATTATTCGTATTTATTATAAAATCATTTGTCTCTCCTCATTTTTTTCTCTTTGTCACGAGTTTTAAAAAAGAATATGTTTTTACTACCAAAACTAACCTGTACTACGTAGTAACAATTAGTAATTGCTAAACATTTATTTTTTAACAATAAAATTATTGATATTAAATTAATAAAATTTACTTCTTAACTTTAAACTTATAACGTATAATAAATAACTTGCATTCAGAATACAAATTTAAAGTATTTAATGGTAATCACTTATTTGTTCATTTGCAATGTCACATTATCTATAATAAGGTTATTTGCAGGTAAATATAACTAATATTCACTTTGAATTTTTAAATAAATTTATTTTTATTTCATTTTAAATTGTTAGTTTTTATATTTCGATTCATTTTTTAATACTAATAATTATATTATCCCTTTACAATAGAAGAATATACATTCTCAAATATACTCTATCAAAACTTTGAGAGAAAAAGAAGATATGCGAAATCGTTTGTAATGATGCAAAATTATGATTCACTTTTTAATATTTTACTTAAATTAATCTTATATTTAAAGGGAGATCAATTGTCAATATTTTATCGTTTCTTCTAGCGTTATTGTACGAATAGATGGTAAAAACTGATAGATTATGGAAAGGTTATATAAAAAAAAGCTTTATACTATAATAAAAGTTTTTAGAACAAATACCTATAATTATCGAAATGATTTTTAAATCAATATGTTATTAATATTACCGTTTTTATTATTATTATTATTATTATTATATAGAATATTATATTAAGAGAAACGAAAAATAAATGAATAATTATTTCAATAGATACTGTTAGATATAATGATAATTGTATTCTAAGATGAATCAATTCCTACTGATATGAATAATAACTTTACATATCTTTAATAATCGATATAAATAGTGTTATAAAAATTCGAAAATCTGCCCCAACGGTTGATATTAAATAAAAAAAATTGTTTGATCGAGGCTAAAGAGGCATTAAAAGCTCTGTGCATATAAAAAGAATGCATTTATCGGGAATCGATGGAAAAATTGCATATACGTAAATTACCTTGAACCTGCGTTAGCTTGAACAAAAATCGTATTCAATCAATGCTTTTACAACAATTATTTAAGCAAAACGAATCACATATTTTTCATCCCTTTATAACTATTGATAACAGTTCGATTCTCTGCAAAGCTGACGTTGTAGTATAAACATTTTAACAACTCCATCGCCCAAATTCACGAGTTAAGAATACAGCTTAATTAATAAGACAATCTTCATTCTTCGTAATTGTTTTTAGTATTTATATATATATATATATATATATATATATATATATATATATAATATATAAATATATATAAAAATAATATATAATAATATAAATAAAGTATATTTATCATTACTCGTTTTCTAGAGAACAAGATACAAAAGTCTGTCCCTCGATAAATAAATATAAAAAAAAAACAACAGAAATAATAAGCATATAATTTATAATGTATATGTAATGATAAAACTCAAATAGACGAACGAAATATTTGTCATACTATTTATCATGTAGTTATTATTTATATTATAATATACTTATATATATAAAAATATTTTCTTGATGCTTTTAAAAAATTAGAAATTCATTTATATACTTTGTGTTATTTCGTTTTAAGTCTCTAAATTATACATAAAACATTTCAGATATAAGTTCGAAAGATCTTTAGAATTACGAAAGGTTGTATGGAGTGTCGACACTTAAAATTTAGACATATAAATATGCATTAGCTTATCTGCATTTCGGTAGTAAAAACTATTGCAGACAATAAATTTCGAGAAAGCTCAATTTTTCAATAGTTTGAAATAATTAATAAATGGCAGTCCATAAATATTGTCTATTATCTCCAATATAACTACCCACATAAACATATAACGGTATAACAAAAATTAATTTTTTTTTTTGTTTTTGTTTTTGTTTTTTTTTTTATTAAATTATTAACATCAAAATGCTAGAAAAATCGTATGATCAAATTTCCTTTAAATTAATCAATTTTATTATTACAATGATTTTCTTCCTTAATCTGAATTCGGCTAATATTATAAAAGCTTTTGCAACATTTTTATCATTAAATTATTGAAAATATGAAAGTAAGTTGACTAAATAAAATTAAAGTATTAAAAAATATCTAATATAATTATAAGTATTCATATACTTTTTATAAAAAAAGAAATCACTTTGTTGAAAACAATATATCGGTAATAACATAAAAACGTATATTAATCATCCGTAAATGTCATTGTAATGGAAATATTATTAGATATTAATTTTTAATAATAATAAAGATAAAAAGTACAAAATATTAATATTTATACGATGTTATGACCACAACGTTGAAAATTATATTAAAATATAATTATAAACACTGCTAGCTAAATAAATGTTCAATAATCTACGTTATAAAGAACTAAATATGCCGAAATATGTCATCCCAATTTTTGTTATTGTTTATATGATAATATAATGTATATCATTGTCTCTATTAACCTCCTAAAGCAAATGGAATACTTTCTATATGTGTTCTATATCGTAATATATAGTATCGATATGGAGAATTATAATTTAAATTTTTAAGATTGGGACTTCATTCTGTCAAACAGTTAATGCCCGTCTATCCGACCCAATTCTCTAATCTGAAAGTAAATTCAAATCCTATTAATATTTTCATAGATTGACTTTCAAACGTAATAATATTCTCGATCTGAACATACTGAAATTATAGAAATTATATTTGACTGTATCACATTTTTACTTATATTAGTTATTTAAAATAATAATAAAAGATTAGAAGATTCATTCATACCCGTTACACTATTTCTACTATTTATTTAATGGTTTTCTTTAAAATTCTAATTAATTATAAGGGAAAGTAAAACTTGGATAATGACTGATGTAGTGTCTTAAAGTCGTGTCTCTATAAAATTAAACGTACATTATAATGGAAAAACTCTCACTACTTTTGAAATATAACGAAATTAATGTGATTCATACTTAAATTTAGTAACTCGTTCAAATTATTATATAAATATTAATAATTATATAAAATAGTTGATATCATCTGGTTTTATATAATTTTTTTTTTTATTTTTATGAAACTTATATGCTGATATAATATAATCATAATCTGTTATTTATGTTACAAGAAATTTATATTAAAATATGTATGCTTTATATGATCAATTTTGATGATTTTAATTAATAATTTAATGTGTTAAAGAACATTTCAATATAAAAATAAAAATATATCTGTATTCTAAACCATTAAACAAATAAAATAATTGGAATGGTATTTTAAAAATATGTAAGATACATAAATGTACAATAATTATAATTAACTAAATATCTTTAGAGGATAATTATCTGGAATTTTTTTAATTTCTATCGTAAAGGCGAAATTAATGAAAAATTTTCCAAAATTATCTATAAACATATAACTCTATAACAAAATATTGATATTTAATATAATTATATGAGATATAACATATACGGTTAGTAAATATCTATAAT